TGAGCCTGTGACCCAGGAGAGGCTGGACGAGTTGAGCGCGAAGGGTGTGAAGGTCACTGTCATTCCCTCAAAGCTTATCTGCAGTATCAAGGCCCCCAAAGGTAGGCTCAAAGCCCGAATAGTTGCTTGTGGTAACTTTCTTGGTACGTGCCTAGGAGAGTCAAAGGCCCGGCCAGAGGAAACATGACCTCTACTCTAGTGGAGTTGACCTTACTCACCTGCGCATGTTGTTAGCATATAGTTCACGTCGTGGAATGCCTGTTTGGTCTGTAGACATCAAGACTGCTTTCCTGAACTCAGAACTGTTACCTAGGAACCGTGAGGGTGCACAAGAAGCAGTAGCCCACGCTGGAACTGCTCACGCGGTCCGCCGGGACTCGCCGGAGAGCGAGAACCCAGCCGAGTACGTTGTCCTGAACCCTCCACGTATCCTAGTGTCCAAAGGAGTCGTGCCTGTAGGTACTTTCCTCATAGTGAAAAAGGCAGTTTACGGTCTTGACCAAAGTCCAAGAGACTGGGGTTTCACGAGAGACTCTGAACTTCGTACCCTGAAAATTCCCTGGAAAAGCAAGCTTTTGAAGCTAGTGCAGTCTCTTGCTGACGAGTGCGTTTGGTTTGTTGTTGACGTTGAGACAGTTCTCGTTCAGGACCCAGACTTTCCTGTGCCTGCGCAGTCCCAGGAAGTGCTCGGGTGGATCGCTGTCTACGTTGACGATATTCTTGGGTCAGGTATAGAGGATTTAGGCGAGGGGGTCATTAGGGCAGTTTGTGAAAAGTGGGCGTGTTCTGACCCAGAGAAGGTTGGAAGTGACCCGTCGAATCCAGTTCGCTTTTTAGGCTTAGAGCTGTACTGGTCAAGGGAGGGCAGGTTGGTTGTGACTCAAACCGCTTACGCAAAGGACTTGCTGAGTAGGTACACCAACGAGTTTGTCGCTTCTGTGCAGCCTCTTCCGCAAGGACTGGAGGACCCTGTTGCCGTCCCTAACCCCAACGCCGAAAGCATTAGGAAGTGCCAACAAGTTGTAGGTGAACTGCTGTGGTTGTCGATTCGTACTAGGGTTGACCTTTGCTACGCCGTTTCCAAGCTTGCTCAGTGGAGCACAAAGGACCCTGAGTTCACGTTTAGGCAGGCCCTGCAGGTTCTAGGTTACTTGTCTGTGACGCCGTCGGTAGGTCTTGTTTTCGCAGGCCCTAAGGACAGAGATGAGTACAACCTTGTAGGAACGCAAGACTACACGCGCGTGCTGCAGGCATACACAGATGCGTCGCACGCACCAGGAGGTGATAGGTCTCATGAGTGCACCGTGCTTCGCTGTGAAGGGTCTACTGTTGGTTGGGTCAGCACAAGGCAGCCGTTTTGCACGCAGTCTTCATGTGAAGCAGAACTTCTCTCCACTACTACTGGCAGTAACTATGCAGTTGCACATGTAGGACTTGCTCGTGAACTGTGGCAGCATGAGCCAAGGGTGTTTGTGGCAAACGACAACCTGAGTGCTATCACAGTGATCAACAGCCCCACAGTTTCTTGGAGAACCCGTCACCTAAAAATTAGGGCTAGAGTCCTGAAAGAGAGGTCTGACATGAAATTGCTCGTTTTCGTGCATGTAGGTGGAGACAAGAATGGTGCTGATATAGGGACTAAGGCACTTGGCCCGCAGAGGATCAAGACGTTGATGGCAGTGCTGGGAATGTCCGCGCAGGATCCGCCTGCCGAAACCACTAAGGCAAAATCCGTTCAGCACGTGAAGGATTGCCTAAGGGCAGTCATTTTGGCCTGTTGCCTGTGCAACGCCAGAGCCACTAAGGACCAGGACAGGACCCAGAGTAGTGAAGACTGGTCTCTTGTAGTGTTTGCGGTGCTAATCTCAATCACGTCCATTGCAGTTTGGGAAGCATGTAAGGCTTGTTTGAGGGCAGTGTTTCGACAAGCCGGCCAAGACTCCCAGCCCCAGAACCTGAAGAGCTTTTCATTCCTGAACAGCCCGAAGATGAGTATGAAGGCCCAGATCCTGACGAGGCCCCCGTTGCTCGTGTTAGGGATCCCGTTCCCGCAATGAGCCCTGAAGAAGGCTTGAGGCGAAGGCCCCCAAGACCTGTAGCGCAGCAGGAGCCTGATGTAGAGCCTCAAGGCCGCCCTATCACATTTGCCTTTGCTGATGATGAGGTTCAGGTGTTTATGCCAGGCCCAGCAGACGCGCCAGCGAACCCGCCTGAGCCTGTCCACAGAGACGTAGTCGCCCAGCCTAGAGGCCCATTGCAAGCAAGGCCCCTACGGCTCAATCATCCACCTGATCCGCCCTATATCCTCAGGGTCGGCTGGCCCGCCCCCACGCTGCAGCCAACTATGAGGGAAATGCGGCTGACGAGGACATCGTGGGGTGGAGATCTATCCACACTTTTTCAGGCACCGCCGCCAGAGTTTCGACAGGACTTCTTTCAGTACGATGCAGAGAGACCAACTGTCTTAGTACGCTGGCACGCTGTCGTGAGAGTTCGTCGCTTCGACCCAGCGCAGACCAGGTTGCCCGTTCCTCTGGGAGCACTCACAGGCCGCAGGAGGACGCTAGCCATTTATGCAGCTGGTGAGCGACAGTATTATGATGACAGCTGGCGAAACCCAGAAGTTGCTCGCCGGTACCATGAACACGAGTGGCGTGGTCGCACTGAACTCGAGGTCGATGTGCGACGCCTTTACCCAGCAGGGTAGATGAGTTTTTTGCTTCATCCATGCCGGGGAAGCACTCCAGGCCGGACTGAGGCATACCGAACCCATTCCTTCAACGAAGCATTTTGCTTCAACGAGGCTACACTTGACCCTGCCGGGAAGGCATCCCAGGCCGCAGGATCCAGTGAGAGCCCTCTTCTGATGCTCGTTTGCCTCCCATCATACAGTTGGTGACGCGTCACCAAGGGGGAGCGCGAGTGTGGAAGCATTCAACCTCATAGCCATGTGCGGTGTTTGGCTTAAGGTCTACACAGGAGCCCCGCCACACCCACAAGTTATTTTTAGAAGCCAATATGTATAGTGTACAGCATTTAGGCAGAAGTCATAGGACACAGACTCCTATCAGAACATTCCTTCTTTCTTGTCTTGTTTTGTGTTGCTGCTTGGTGGCAAAAAGGAGAGCCCTGCGTAACCCCGCTGTGGAGCTTCCTGCCCACACGAGACCCTAAACCCTAAACCCTAAACCCTAAACCGCTGAACTGACCCATTGCAGTAGGGGAACCCAACTCGTTGTGCAATGTCTTTATTTGGTATCCGAGTCACAATATTCGAATATGGGCACCCTTTGTTGGGTTCCAATGGCTACCTTATATGGGAACTCAGAACCAAAAAAGGGAAAGGGTGGGCTACCAAGTCCCTCAACCCTAAACTCTAAACCCTAAGCCACAAACCCTAAACCCTTAACGCCAAACCCTAAATCCCAAACCCCAAACCCTAAACCCCAAAACCAGAACCCTCAACCCTCAACCCTCAACCCTCAACCCTCAACCCTCAACCCTCAACCCTCAACCCTCAACCCTAAACCCTAAACCCTAGACCCTAGCCCTAAACCCTAAACCCTGAAGCCTAAACCCTCAGCACCAGAAGCCCTTCGTATGTTTTTAAGAACGATCTGGAAGCTCGTTATCTGCCGCTTCCGAGTCGACCTCACCAGAGAAGGTGTGGTCCTGCCGAATGGTCCTGGGCTTCTTACTGCGTTAAGGTTTAGGGTTAGGGTTAGGGTTTAGGGTTTAGGGTTTAGGGTTTAGGGTTTAGGGTTTAGGGTTTAGGGTTTAGGGTTTAGGGTTTAGGGTTTAGGGTTTAGGGTTTAGGGTTTAGGGTTTAGGGTTTAGGGTTTAGGGATTCGGGTTTCGGGTTTCGGGTTTCGGGTTTCGGGTTTCGGGTTTCGGGTTTCGGGTTTCGGGTTTATAAACCTATAGGGTTTAGGGTTTCGGGTTTAGGGTTGGATTTTCACTGGCGGGGCTTTTTGCGGTGGGAAGTGGGCGGGGGCTTAGGGGTTTAGGGTTTGGGGTTTGGGGTTTGGGGTTCGGGTTTGGGGTTTGGGGTTTGGGGCACCCCGACCCAAGAGCAACCTAGGAACAACAAGGGTGCCCTGTTGGGCTTAAAGGGGGCTTATTCAGGGAACCTTGGCTCTAACAGCAGAGGGGTATAAGGGACTCTGGTAGGCCTAAACCCTAAACCCTAAACCCTAAACCCTAAACCCTAAACCCTAAACCCTAAACCCTAAACCCTAAACCCTAAACCCTAAACCCTAAACCTGGACCCTCCGGGTCCTGGGGGGCGGGGGTAACTGCAGCACGAGGGGCCCATGCAGCTGGTCCCCTAAGCCTTCGAGCTCGCTCAGGCTAAAGTCCTGGTGACCGTGGTTATGGGGTTTGCCTTTGGAGGGTTGGCTTTAGGCTAACCCTAAACCCTAAACCCTAAACCCTAAACCCTAAACCCTAAACTGCGGCTCGGGCTAGAGGTTAGAGCATCTAGGGCTTTGGATGGGGGCATGGGACACGTGCAAGCGAGTTCAATGCCACTCTGTGCACGATGCATCTTAAGAGAGCCCTTCGCTATGGTTTAGGGGTTTATGGGGTTTATGGGGTTTAGGGGTTTAGGGGTTTAGGGGGTTTAGGGGTTTAGGGGTTTAGGGGTTTAGGGGTTTAGGGGTTTAGGGGTTTAGGGGTTTAGGGGTTTAGGGGTTTAGGGGTTTAGGGGTTTAGGGTTGACGTTTGAGGCTGTGTCTTGGAATGCCAAGATGTAGGGTTAGTCCCCACGCTCGTGGCCAAAGGGCCCGGAACGAAGAGCGAGCCGAACCAGACTTACGAATCCACGCGAACATCCTCAAAAGTTCTGCACGTTTAGCTCTCTGGCCCCTTTCTGCGCGCACCCCCGGCCACGTTAAAGCATAAGCCCGCAAGCAGGTTCCCTACAGATTGTGGAGAGAACTGCCCGTATGTTCCAGGTCTTAATTGGGCTCCCGGGTTCAGGTCCCAAACCCCTGAACCCTTTAACCTAAACCCCGAACCCTATGTCCCTGCCGGTCCCCGAGAATCTCAAGGCGGAAGATCTTCAAGAAGGTGTTCCTTGTCTCCAAGAGGGTGCTTCGAGATTTAACGGCTCGAGGTTTCGAAGCTAGAGTAGTCTTCGGGGGGACTTGCTTAAGGTTTAGGATTTAGGGTTACAGGTTACAGGGTTACAGGGTTACAGGGATTAGAGTTATATGGTTCTAGGGTTATAGGGTTTAGGGCTACTAAAACCCAACTCTCTCTCTCTCTCTGCTGCGGCACATTACGTGGGAGAAGGTGCCCGTGTTCTCCTTGATGGGGAACACGTAGTAGGCATGGAAGGACCCAAGCACAACGATGCAAAGGAAGAACAGGAAGGACAGCGACTCCGGCCTCAAGAGCCCTCAACCCTAAACCCTAAACCCTAAGCCCTAAACTCTAAGCCCTAAACCCTAAGCCCTAAACCCTAAGCCCTAAACCCTAAAACCTAAACCCTAAACCCCTCCCTAAACCCCGAAATCCTACACCCGAAGCCCTGCTTAAGTTGGGCGCTTCTTTGGGGGATTCCATCTCTCGGAGTCCCACAAGTCCGACAACCCATCAGCCCAGAACTCTGCACCCCGCACTTCTTCCCGGGGGTGGTGCCTGAAGTTAAACCCTAAACCCTAAACCCTAAACCCTAAACCCTAAACCCTGGCATGGTGTGTGCATGCGGGACGACCCCTTTTGCTTTCGGGTCACTTGAGCACAAGTTACTCTAGTTGAGCCTATTCTCCGGCTTGCTTCCCGCGCTTGATTACCCTGAGGGTTTAGGGTTTGGGTTTAGGGTTTAGGGTTTAGGGTTTAGGGTTTAGGGTTTAGGGTTTAGGGTTTAGGGTTTAGGGTTTAGGGTTTCGGGTTTAGGGTTTAGGGTTTAGGGTTTAGGGTTTAGGGCTTAGGGCTTAGGGTTTAGGGAAAGGATTATGGCAGGCAGAGCTGTGACACTGTGGACCTGAGACGTTGTCTGTTTTGGCAAGTGTTCATCCCCAAAGGGTCCATGTACCCATATAGTATATACTTGGGCCTTAAAGGGGTTCCTATACAGTAGCTTTAGGGCCCAAATATGTACTATATGGGTACATGGACCCTTAGGGCATCCACTTAGCCGGAGTGTTGCTTGCTCTTGCTGGGTTGGGGGGGGAGACCTGGATGCAATCCCTGGTCTACGGGGGTGGGTTTAGGGCACACGTTCCTCTGGTCCTGAACCCGTCGTGAACCCTAACGTTGGACGCTAAACCCTAGACCCTAAACCCTGAACCCTAAACCGATAGAGGACCCCTCCTTATAAGGTCAAGTTTGCCAGGCTGTTCAGGACCCGGTGACTGTTTCGGGGTCCAGAGTCTATACTCCACTTAGAACCTTCATAAACATATTTGTTAAATATCCTCTTGGGTTTTGTATGAACAAAAAATAATTCCAAGGTGGGTATAGGAGTGAGGTCCGCAATTATCTCGTATCGAACGGGTGTCGTGACAAAATTTCGCGCAGCGCGCCTTGACAATCAATTGCCGGGCCTAACTGTCCCTCTTAAACTCACATAGACGTTCTGGGAGGGGGGGAACACACTAAAGCACGTCCAACAGTTAGTCCTCAACTCATTAGCCCTACTTGAATGCAGATGTGAAGCTGCCGCGGACTCTGTTTTCCCCAAGGGTAAGATATACCAAGGCGAAGATATGATCGCCCCGGGCGGGCGGGCTGGGTGAAATCTTGCATTTCTGAGCCGCTGGCAGGCTGAGGAGATAAAGCTCAAGTGCCCGAGCTAACTTATGCTAAAATCCTTTAGCATTGCATTAGCCCTACTTGAATGCAGATGTGAAGCTGCCGCGGACTCTGTTTTCCCCAAGGGTAAGATATACCAAGGCGAAGATATGATCGCCCTTGGGACCCTTGGTATATATGGAAGAAGGGGGAAAACAGAACGAGAGGAGATCTATGATTCATCTTCTGAAAGTTCCAAAAGCTGGAAGGCCAATGTGGCTGCTTGCTGCTCATCTTGCGTGGCGTAGCGCGACGCTGATGCCGGCGTACTCCAATCTCCCATCCTCAGCATTCCAGGGAGCCCATATGCTGCCGAAGCATGCCACGACGACCCTGCCAGGAGCGCGCAAGCCACTGGAGATGCATGTAAAACATCTGCGCCTGCGCCTCTTCTGAAGCGTCGAGAGGAAACCTTATGCGCTTCTTCTGCCGACATTCCGCAAGTGACCAAGCTACTGCGCAGCCGTGAGGTGAAAGTAGCTGACATGGTAACAAGCAGCTTCTCTTGTGGCCAAGCAGGACCTCGTAGTTCATGTAGGGCTGCAAGCCATGGATGCCAGCACAGCAAGGGCGACCGGCTACAAACACACCAGCGTCGCAAGGTACAAGGGTGGGGCTTACCCTTGCGGTAAATGTTGGAGTACACTAAACATCGATCTCCTACACTCAGTCTGGACCAAGACAACTGCTTAAAGATCTCTGACGGAACCCTTGCAGCAAAGGTGTATGCCAAATTGCAAATGGCACCGAACTCCACGTCCCGGTTCCCCGCTGCTAGCTTGAGAAGCTTGCGCCACCAGTGCAACTGCAAGCGTGGCTTCGGAGGCGCCTCTGGAGCTAAGCGTACAGTTCCCTTACGTAGCTTTTTGAGGAACAAATCCGCGTCCCCTGCCCACGGAACACGTTCCCGTACATGCCAGTCTCTCCAAGCTGCCAGCCAGCCTCTCTGAGTGTTCGGATTGTTGATCAGAGCGGCCACCCGGCTGATCAACTGCAGTGAAGCCGGCAATGGTGGCTGGCGAAGAGTACGACAAGCCCAATGTATCATGCGAATATGGGAGGCGTAGGAGCCCTTGCTGATGCAATCGAATCCAAGATCTGACCCACCGGAAATTTTCTGCGAGCCAAGTCTTCCAGTAGAACGATCTCTTGTGTCGGGGTCGGTCCTGCCTGACTGCGCCCTCGGGGAGGAAGCATACCGACAGCCTGGTGCAACTCTGAAGGTTCTGCGCACGCCAGTCTGAAAGTATTTGCCGCACTCGACGTTACATCACTGGCGGACGCAGCTTTCGAACTGGAGGACTCTGAGTGCACCTTTGTATTGTGTAACTGCCGCCTCTGTTCCGGATCTGCCACCGACGCTTGCTGAAGCTTCCGTCGTTTCCATGGAAGTTCCCCTCTAGGCACAACATACATGCATGCCGTCAAAGGAAGCACTACAAAATGCCAAAATCTCTTAGACAAACCACACATATATATATATATGTATATCTCATGTCATGTAAGATGCCCCATACACATGGATGTATATTTGGCAGCGCTGGGACCTACCAACACGAGGCCTGATTGTTGTATCGGGCAGCCTCGAGTCAGCCTGATGATCCATTTTGAACTGAGGCTAGCACGCTTACAAATCTTCAGAGTTTGCCTGGGTTGGTCAAAGCAGAGCGGCAGCCAGCAACTACTTGGGTTTCGGATTAAGGGATGAGCAAGAACCCCTGAAGTCCCCCAACTCCAAACCAGAACTGTCAAACTCCTCAAGCCGCAAGACAACCTCCCAAGGCACCCAAGCCGCGCAAGCAGATTGCTCCGAACGTAGCAGAAACTCAAAGAGAGGGGACCCCGCAATACCAGAAGCTAAGCCAAACCCCCCCCCCCCCCAACCAAACAAAAGAAACACACACCCACACACACACAGAGACACGGACACAGACGCCTTTCCTCGGACAGCAGCAGCTCCCCTGTCAGCGTTGGCCCTGGTGGCGACGCTTGCGACTTGCTTGAGAAGCCCAGTCCCTTGAAGGAACCTGACGGACCGTGTGGTCGGATGACGCCAGCGGAGGAGAACCATCTGCTACGCTTGCCTGTAGGCGGCCATGGCCCGCAGCGGTTGCTGCACCAGTTGCGCAAGGTTGCACGGGACGCGGTCCCGGAGCCGCGTGGCTGACAGAGGCATCTGCTTGGACCCAGGAACTCTGTAAGAAAATTAGCAGTGAAAGCCGGAGGCAGAACTGCTGCGACTTGTGAAGCGCGGAGCTGCTCCAAGATTGCATGATGCTTTCGGCTGGGACCATCAGCTATGTTGAGTTCCGAAGGAACGCGCCCCACCCATGCTGAGCATTTGATCCGCCTGACTGCCTGCCAGAACAGCCCTGCTAGGACTGTAAGGCGCGGCGACGAACTGTACGCCTTGACCAAGACACCTTCCGCAGCCACGTTGTCTGTGAAGATGAAGACATCCACGTTTTCCAGCCGGTCCGACCAGGTGAGCAATGCCACCACAGCTGCTAAGGCCTCGGCCTCATTTATGCAGTGACCCGACAGCCAAGGCAACAGGTTAGAGTCCTCTGGTCGTATCTCTTGAGAGAAAAAGCAGAACCGACCAGCTCCCCAAGCCACTCCTCCGAGTCTGTAGCTGTTGGCTCTCCCTGCAGCATCCACAAAGATGAGGGCCGCCCTTCGAGCCAGCGTGCCTGGAACATGCACCGGCATGGGGCCGGAGGCGCACATGAAAATGCTGAAGCCCACTAGAGCAGCTTGCAGCACTCGCCATGAGACTTGTCCGCCGCGAGAAAGTTCCCGAAGAGGCCACGTAAAGGCACGACCTGACTTGCCGAGGGCCAGAGCCGAACAATGGTCCCACTGGCCCACACATTTCCCAGCCACGGCAGCCGATAAGTGACGCTGCGCCAGTGTAGACGTGATGACGTCCGAGTACTTCTTTACTTTCTGCTGCGGCATGTCCACGGTGCAAGCCAAGCCTAGCTTCCGCTGGTGTTCCGTGGTGTCAAAGCTGAGGAGAGCTCCCAGCGCCACAAACGTTGAAGCACTTCCCGCTGCATCGCGAGGCGGTCTAGCCTTGGTGGCCTTGAGCCTGAAATTCAGAAGCTCGTGCAGCTCGACAAAGGCCTCTCGCGCCGACACTATTGCATCCTGAGTGTCCACGCCCACCAAATCGTCCACGTGAGGAACGTTGGGGATCAGCAAGAGAACCGCAGCTATGGCTGACACGGCATCCGTGACTCGGCAGAAAACATGCGGGGACCCTCGCGGTCCAAACAAAAGCTTTCGGGGCACATAAATTCTGATGTTCCCCTTGTTGTCCTGGGCCGTTGCGCAAAAGAGCTTTCTATCCAAAGAGGACAGAGGAAGCTGCCGGAATCCGTGCTCGTAATCTTCGGCAAAGCCCCGCAGAGCTGGAAACTGCCCTTTCTTTTTGAAGGCGGCAGCCACCGTTTGGCAAAGCGAGAGGTAGCCATCCAAACCAGCCATGAGAACTTGGTTCGGCAGCAGGACCATCGATGGACCATTGGCTTCTTCCGGATCCAAGCAACCCCTAAGCTTAGATGGTTCTTGAACCCCGAAGTACAACCAACAAGCAAAGTCTCCCAACTCTTGACGCGCCTCTGACCACGAGTAGGACGTCCAAAAGCCTTTGGTGGTCTCCTCCTCGAGTAGCCTGTGAAGCTCCGCGGAGTGGCTGCCAGGCACCTTGAAGCGACCATCCTTCTGCTTAACAGCATGCTTGTCCAAGAGACGCTGGAGATCTCGAACATGAGCTGCATCATCCCAAGCAAGAGGTTCCGGGCGTTGTGGCCATTGTGGCACTGCTGGCAGTCGTCCCAACAAGCGGAATCCATCTGGCTGCTGCGCATCTTCGGCCAAAGCCTTATCTGGATGGCCTGCCACTTCTGCCAAACGCTGTAACACTCCCCAACGAGGCTGTGTTGAAGGACCATCCGCCGCCACAACGCGACGAACACGCGCCATCTGCTCCGTCCGGTATGCCGCAATTTCTGCGGCGGACAGCGTAGCCCTTTGCCAAATCCCTGCAGTCACAGTGCTGGACAAGTCTCGGAAAGGTTGGCGCAGGGGGCTGCTGAATTGAATAACCTCGCAAACGAAATCTTGCCAGGAGGACATGTAGCGAGACTTGTCCGCCAGGATCCTCTCATCCAGAAAATCACCTTGACAAAACCCTTTGTGGGACATGATGCCGAGGATACGCGGAGTGAGAGAACTGGCGGGCGGAAGCCGTGCGTCCGAAGAAAATGCCGTGAGCAAGCTTTGCTGAACTTCTTTGCTGCTGCCAGACTGTAAAGTGGCTGGGTTCTCTGCTTTGCCGAGAGCCCCATCAAAACTGTGGCGACCAAGTGTCGCCGGAAGGCACCTTTGAACCTGGTCTTGGCGTCGCTCTTCAACCGGTGCCCAATCGAAGGAGCCGCCTTTGTCCTACTTCTTGCCACGGGAAGACGTCGGAGTTGCTGGCGTCCTCTGCTCCGGCGAAACCCTAGCAGCGTTCTGGTCACCACGGTCACGCCTGCGTGAACGACTTCTTGAACGTCTTCGAGGAGACCGCGAGCGGGCCTTGTGAGAACGGCCCTCCTCTCTGACCACCATCTCCATGGGCACTCGTAGGGAAGCCAGGTGACGAGCCAAGTAGCCGGGCTTATTCTGGCAGATCTTGCCTTGACAGAAAGGACACGTGTGGTTGAAGCCGCATGTTTTCCGCCCATAACCGCTGCAGAAGTTGGGCTTGACTGCGTGTCTCAAGCAATGATCAGTAAGAGAAGGTTTGCGAGCCTGTGGAGCTGAAGGAGCTTTTGCACCACCCTCCTCAAGACAAACAGAATCCTTGGCTTCCGAAAAGACGCCGGGGTCGCGGTGCAGGAAAACCTGCGTAGCCTCCTCAAACGGCTTCGTGTCCACATCTGGGTTCAAGGGAACATTCAAAGAGGATCCGTGAAGGAGCTCCCGAATCTTGATGCTGTACAGCACCGCCAATTTCTCCGCCTGCTGGTCATCGCCTGGAGTTTCACTGGCAATTTGAAGCGCCAAGCCCAACTCGCTGAACAACGCTGCCGGGGACATACGCTGCATCAAGAGGAGAGCGATGCCGGACCGAAGAATTTGCCAAAGCTGCTTGGCAAAGGCCCGTGGACCTTCATGATCTAACAGCTGTTTGCGGTCAGGTTGTGGGAAGTGCCCGACTTGAGCAGCCGAAGAGACTTTTCTGAGCAAATCCGCATCTGGAAGCAAGGACGGAGCAAACACGCCGAGTTCGAGGCGTTGGGCAAGCTCACCCACGGTTTGCTTATGTTTCAGTCGCTCGGCTTCCTCAGCAACCGGATCTGACATTCCAGCAACTCGCAGCGCCGTCTTCAAAAGCAAATCCGAGTCCGTGGACTGGGAAGTTTCTTGAGAGGTGAACGGCGAGGACATATTCAAGAATCTCTTGAAAGCTGCTTTAGCCCTCAATGTTGTGTCCCCAGGAAGGCCACTGAAGAACTCGTCCGTGCCCAAGGCTTGTATGTCAAGCAACACCGGGTTCACATCTTCTTGGCTCATGTCATAGCCAAGCTTTACCAGTGTGGAACGCGCAAGCTCCAAGTCAGGATCCAACTCGCCAAAGAAGCTGCTTAGTGTGTTTCCCCCAACGCCAACTGTCTGTGCCACGGCCACGTTCGGCGCAGGCGGGCAAGCAGTCCCAGCCGCGAGAGTTGCCAAGCGTTCTGCTGCGTTTAACATGGCAGAAGAACTGGGATCCCAGCTAACAGTCTTGCTAGAACGTTGAAGTTGAAATGGAGAAACGTTGTTGCTTTCTGCGCCGCAGGCAGGCCTGAATGTTGAATGAAATCTTGCATTTCTGAGCCGCTGGCAGGCTTGAGCCAAAATGGCTACGGACCATCAGCTATGTTGAGTTCCGAAGGAACGCGCCCCACCCATGCTGAGCATTTGATCCGCCTGACTGCCTGCCAGAACAGCCCTGCTAGGACTGTAAGGTGCGGCGACGAACTGTACGCCTTGACCAAGACACCTTCCGCAGCCACGTTGTCTATGAAGATGAAGACATCCACGTTTTCCAGCCGGTCCGACCAGGTGAGCAATGCCACCACAGCTGCTAAGGCCTCGGCCTCATTTATGCAGTGACCCGACAGCCAAGGCAACAGGTTAGAGTCCTCTGGTCGTATCTCTTGAGAGAAAAAGCAGAACCAACCAGCTCCCCAAGCCACTCCTCCGAGTCTGTAGCTGTTGGCTCTCCCTGCAGCATCCACAAAGATGAGGGCCGCCCTTCGAGCCAGCGTGCCTGGAACATGCACCGGCATGGGGCCGGAGGCGCACATGAAAATGCTGAAGCCCACTAGAGCAGCTTGCAGCACTCGCCATGAGACTTGTCCGCCGCGAGAAAGTTCCCGAAGAGGCCACGTAAAGGCACGACCTGACTGGCCGAGGGCCAGAGCCGAACAATGGTCCCACTGGCCCACACATTTCCCAGCCACGGCAGCCGATAAGTGACGCTGCGCCAGTGTAGACGTGATGACGTCCGAGTACTTCTTTACTTTCTGCTGCGGCATGTCCACGGTGCAAGCCAAGCCTAGCTTCCGCTGGTGTTCCGTGGTGTCAAAGCTGAGGAGAGCTCCCAGCGCCACAAACGTTGAAGCACTTCCCGCTGCATCGCGAGGCGGTCTAGCCTTGGTGGCCTTGAGCCTGAAATTCAGAAGCTCGTGCAGCTCGACAAAGGCCTCTCGCGCCGACACTATTGCATCCTGAGTGTCCACGCCCACCAAATCGTCCACGTGAGGAACGTTGGGGATCAGCAAGAGAACCGCAGCTATGGCTGACACGGCATCCGTGACTCGGCAGAAAACATGCGGGGACCCTCGCGGTCCAAACAAAAGCTTTCGGGGCACATAAATTCTGATGTTCCCCTTGTTGTCCTGGGCCGTTGCGCAAAAGAGCTTTCTATCCAAAGAGGACAGAGGAAGCTGCCGGAATCCGTGCTCGTAATCTTCGGCAAAGCCCCGCAGAGCTGGAAACTGCCCTTTCTTTTTGAAGGCGGCAGCCACCGTTTGTGAAATCTTGCATTTCTGAGCCGCTGGCAGGCTGAGGAGATAAAGCTCAAGTGCCCGAGCTAACTTATGCTAAAATCCTTTAGCATTGCAATTTACACCCTGAGTCCCAAACCCCTACACGCTACACGCTACACCCTAAACCCTGAACCCTAACATGACGGCTTAGGGTTTCATACGCCCTCAACCCATAGATCCCTAAACTCGAAATCCCTAAACTCTAAACCTTGAACCCTAAACCCTAAACCCAAAACCCCAAACCCTAAACCCTAAACAAGCCCCAAAAAAAAAGGAAGAGCAGCGCGGGAGCCTGGAGATGGCGTGCACCACGGGCACGACGTTTCGGCCCAGCCTAGACCCAGCAGTCACCTAGGAATAAAAAGGGTACCCTTTTTAGTTTTAAGGGTTTAATTAGGGTTTAGGAAACCCTAAACCCTAAACCCTAAACCCTAAACCCTAAACCCTAAACCCTAAACCCTAAACCCTAAACCCTAAACCCTAACCCGAACCAAAAAAACAAGGGCCTACTCCGGGTCCTAGCAGCTGTTCGATCTGAAGGAGGCCGATGGCCAGCTGCGTCCACCGGATCCTCAGGGTTTAGGGTTTAGGGTTTAGGGTTTAGGATTTAGGATTTAGGGTTTAGGGTTTGGGGTTTGGGGTTTAGGGTTTAGGGCTTGGGGCTCAGGGTTCAGGGTTTAGTGCTTAGGGTTTAGGGCTTGGGCTTGGGGAGGTGAGAGTGCGTCGGGCCTTGGCGGGGCTTGAGGGGTTTGGCCCCCCAGTGTACGAGAGACCTATGTCAAAACAATGGTCTATCTACCCTGATGGGGAGAATAGTGCATGATCCCAATTTCCAGGTTCATGTAGTTCCAGGTCTGAATTGAAGCTTCGGGCTTAAAGCTCATAATAACCCTAAACTCGAAACCCTGAACCCTACAGCCCGAAACCCAAAACCCTACCAGCCCGGAACGTGCACTTCCCGCACCCCAAAAAAGGTTGAGTGAACCCCGAAAGATTGCAGAATCAGCTGAAGCCCTAAACTCCCTGAACGCCAAAAAATCTCTTGAAGAAGAGCTGAAAACCACAAAACACTATAACAATACTACAAGCTCATAATACTTCAATAACCTCACCCTAAACCCTAAACCCTAAACCCTGAACCCTAAACCCTAAACCCTAAACCCTAAAAAAACAATAGTAACAGCGAGGCCGAGGTGCAGAACTAGAAAGGAGAGGAATCCGGGATGGAGCCGGAAAAGCTTCCAGGCCCCTTCTCCCGTGTCCCAGATGATGTAAACCAGGAAGCGGTAGGCGAAATACGTGGAGAAGAGCTCCGTAAAGGACATCACAAAGTTCCAGAGCTTTGTGTGCTTCAGCAGCCCTGCAACGAAACCGCCGGGTGACGCGCTAAAGAGTGCCAATCCACCGCCCAGCTTGCGAACAAGTGAGAAGGCAACCCAGATGCTGACGCAGAAGAAAGATACCTGTATGGCTCTTGCAGGTTTGTGTCCCCTGTTGACAGCACAGGCCATGTAGAGAAGGATGACAAGGTATGCCATATCCTCAGTTGCCCAACACAGAGCTCTGCTTGCAAAGCTGGTCACCCTGCCCTCAAAGCGAGCCTGAGAGAAGGGACCCTCCCTTGGCTGAACACCCTGAAACCCTAAACTCTAAACTGGGAAGTTTGACAAGGAAGCACCCTACACCCGAAACCCTAAACCCTAAACTGGAAAGTTTAGAAACTTTGCGGAATAAGGTTGGTCTGCCTCTTTCCCGAGCGTCCACGAGCCAATCCACAGCCCTTGCCAGCGCAGTTCGCTTCAAAGCCTTCAGGCGACACGCGGCAAGGTGCACGTTAGACTAGGCTTTGGGCTTTGGGCTTTGGGCTTTGGGCTTTGGGCTTTGGGCTTTGGGCTTTGGGCTTTGGGCTTTGGGCTTTGGGCTTTGGGCTTTGGGCTTGGGGGGCTTGGGGCTTTGGGCTTTGGGCTTTGGGCTTTGGCTTTGGGCTTTTGGCTTAGGGCTTTGGGCTTTGGGCTTTGGGCTTTGGGCTTTGGGCTTTGGGCTTTGGGCTTTGGGCTTTGGGCTTTGGGCTTTGGGCTTTGGGCTTTGGGCTTGGGGCTTGGGGCTTTGGGCTTTGGGCTTTGGGCTTTGGGGTTTAGGGTTTAGGGTTTAGGGTTTAGGGCTATGTTCTTCCCGAAGGGTTTGGGGACGATGCCTCGTTCAGCATGGCTTTGGAAATCACCGTCGTGAAGCACCGGCTCTCCTGCGCCACGAGGGGCGACTTGGTCACCCCAAGAAAAGGGGTTTGGGGTTTGGGGTTTGGGGTTTAGGGTTTAAAAAGCATGGCTTCGAATTCAGTGTTTCCGCTCTAGGTTCTATCGGGTTTGGAGGTACGTAGCCCTAATCAATGGTTCTGTGAACCCTATTTTGGGTACAGAGTACGTACGCGGCCCTAACCCTAAACCCTAAGTCCTAAAACCTAAGAACCCAATATCTTAGGGTCATGTCTGCCTTACTTAGGTAGGTAGGGGTGTGGGGGCAGCGTTTCTGCGTCGTTTCTAATTGCAGGCACAGGTGAGAGCAAATGTGGAGATGCCGGGTATAGCGTGCTCGAGCTGAGCTCAAACCCCAAAACTTCAAATCCTTAGTCGGGGTGCTATAATCCCTATATTAAGGACTGCTAGGATAAGGGGGAACATCCCAATTCCTAGACCTCGAAAACCCAAACGCCATAATCCCTCGGGCCCCTAAACCAAACACGAAGCATGGCGCAAGCCGACCGAAGCCCGGGCAAAGGGGCTACCATAGGGGCCCTCAACCCTAAACCCTAAACCCTAAACCCTAAAGCCTAAACCCTAAACCCTAAACCCGCTTGCTTAATCTGTGAATGGGAATTCGGGGAGTTCGGAGTGTCTACTTTAGATCGCAAGCAGAGAGGGGTAGTTTTGTTCTCAAAATAAGGGGCTTTTGGGGGGTACTTTTTGTAAGGTGCCGTGCTGCCATTAGGACCCAAAAAAGGACTCGATTCTAGAGAACTACCCATAGGGATCAAGAGGATGACCCTAAGCCGAAAACTCCATAGACGCCCCGAGCCACCAAAGCCCTTGGAACCCAAAACCCAGAACCCGAAGCCCCTGAACAGGAAGACCGGGGGGGGGGGGGGGTAAGGGTTTAGGTTTAAGGGTTGCGGATTGAGGGTAAAGGGTTTCGGCGGACTGCTCTGATGTTTCTGGTTCAGGGGCCGGGCTTATGAAACCCTAAACCCTAAACCCTAAACCCTAAACCCTAAACCCTAAACCCTAAACCCTAAACCACTCTTTCATATATAATATAAATGTTAATGACTTTGCGGGCAAGGTCATATATTTAGCGGGCAAGGTCCTATATTTAGCGGGCAAGGTCATATATTTAGCGGGCAAGGTCATATATTTAGCGGGCAAGGTCATATATTTAGTGGGCAAGGTCCATTGGCTAAAAAATGACCTTGCCCACTTTTAAATACATGACCTTGCCCGCTAAAGGGCGACCTTGCCCACTAAATATATGACCTTGCCCGCTAAATATATGACCTTGCCCGCTAAATATATGACCTTGCCCGCTAAATATATGACCTTGCCCGCTAAATATATGGCCCGGGCCAGGTCATATATTTAGCGGGCAAGGTCATATATTTAGCGGGCAAGGTCATATATTTAGCGGGCAAGGTCCTATATTTAGCGGGCAAGGTCCTATATTTAGCGGGCAAGGTCCTATATTTAGCGGGCAAGGTCCTATATTTAGCGGGCAAGGTCATATATTTAGCGGGCAAGGTCATATATTTAGCGGGCAAGGTCCCCCCCCACCCCCCCCCCCCCCCCCCCCCCCCCACCCCCCCCCCCCCCCCCCCCCCCCCCCCCCCCCCCCCCACCCCCCACCCCCCCCCACCCCCCCACCCCCCCCCCACCCCCCCCCCCCCCACCCCCACCACCCCCACCCCCCCCCCCCCCCCCCCCCCCCCCACCCCCCCCCCCCCCCACCCCCCTTTTCCTCGCCCCCCCCCCCTTCGCAGAGCCCCTCAAAAGAGTCAAGCGATTCAAGATGGCTTCCAAAGAATAAGTTTCCGAATGACCGCGCCTGTTTTTGAGGCCCCTGAAGCCCCTCAAACGACTCAAGAACTCAAGATGGCTTCCAAAGAATAAGTTCCCGAATGGAAACATGTGGTTAACAAATCCATTCTGTTGACCACGTTGGTTTTCTTGTCGTTGACAAATCCATTCTGTTGACCACGTTTGGTTTTCTTGTCCGCTTGAAACAGAAACATGTGGTTAACAAATCCATTCTGTTGACCACGTGCCTAGAGAAGAAGGAGGTTGGATATTTTTCCTAATGGTGTGGGACCCAATGGGCGGGTGGGTATTCCCCTGTGGCCTTGAAAGCTGCTCAACTAGTGAATGCTTGGACCAGAGATGCTGAACCCTAAACCCTAAACCCTAAACCCTAAACCCTAAACCCTAAACCCTAAACCCTAACCTATATGGCTTCAGGTTTGGGACTGTTTTTGGTTTCGGGCCTCCCGGCTGGGGCTTAGGAATCATTGCTTTGCTGCTCAGGGCTTAAGGTTTAGGACTTTGGGTTGGAGGTTTATTGCAGAGTATTTGGGGTTGAGAAGGGTTTAGGGTTTAGGGGTTTAGGGTTTAGGGTTTAAGGGTTAAGGGTTAAGAATTTAGGGTTTAGGGCTAGGGGTTTAGTAGGGTTGGGGTGAGATGCTGCAGGACGGCTGTCCTGCCCGGCGTCCACGAGCGCCTTGAGCATGAGGCTCAAGTCCTGACTACACTACATGAGTGGACTTTGCTTACGGGTCTAGAGACAAGCGAGGAGGATGCAGGAGTGTGGTTGTGATTATTGCTGTGGTTGTTGTGGTTGTTCTACTGCTGCTGCGGCGCCGGTGGCGGCGGTTGGCATTGTTGCTGCTGCTTGCTACTGCTTTTGATGTTGCTGCTGCTTGCTGCTTGCTGCTGTTGTTGTCCGTCTTGTTTGTGGTAGTTGGCGCTTGGCTCAGAAGGAGAAACGTTAAAAGGGTTCAGGGTGACGAGCATTCTTTGGCAACTGCTGGCAGTCGAATTATCCTCAAATCCCAAAGTCAAAACCCAACATCACAGGACAGATGAGACATGGTACGTTCTTCACGGCGTTGAAGATTCTTGGGTACTTCTAAGAGCCCGGCTTCTGCCCGTCCATGGGCCCATGAAGCTCCAAGTGGGGTTTAGGGTTTAGGGTTTAGGGTTTAGGGTTTAGGGTTTAGGGTTTAGGGTGCAATGATCCAGATATCACTGCAGGTTTTGCTGTCCTGGTTGGACGTATTCAGTAGTCTCACAGCAGGGGTGATGCTGTAGGTGGTCCTCGGCGTTGCTTGGCTTGCAGGGGCTTAGGGCTTTTTGGGGTGTTCAGCCTCGGGTATTCGGAGTGTTCTGGGTGCAGGGTTTCCGGTATTCAGGTTCAGGGCTTGGGGCTTGGGGCTTGGGGCTTAGGGTTTAGGGTTTAGGTTTTAGGGTTTAGGGCTGAGGCGCTGAGGGGCTGAGGGGCTGAGGGCTCAGGGGTTTGTGGAGATCCCTGAGGCACAGATATCACACGCAAACCCTGTCACAAGAAGCCCTGTACCGTCTTATACGTCTAAGAGAACTACTCCACGCACTCCAAACACATTCCAACACAACACCCTATAACAACTTGATGCCCCATAAGGCCCGGAAGCCTCAAAGACACAAGACACGAAAGCTTTAAGGCAATACAGCTGTAAAGCGTGCAGGCCAAAACCCTAAACCCAGCCACTACATAAACTGGAAGCCCTGCGGTACGGAACTTTGGGAACTGGGCGGCGGGGGGGGGGGGGGACTAAACTCATCTGCCAATCCAGAGTTGGGGGGCGTAAGTAAGGTTTCAAGTTTTAAGGGCTTGGGTTTAGGGTTTAGGGTTTAGGGTTTAGGGTTTAGGGTTTAGGGTTTAGGGTTTAGGGTTTAGGGTTTAGGGTTTAGGGTTTAGGGTTTAGGGTTTAGGGTTTAGGGTTTAGGGTGTAGGGTGTAGGATGTAGGGTGTAGGGTGTAGGGTTTAGGGTTCAGGGTTTAGGGTTTAGGGTTTAGGGTGTAGGAAGACTGTGAAAGCCCCAAAGCCTCCAAAGCCCCAACAAACCCTGCAAAGAACCTTGAAACACCCTTAGACAAGGGTGTTAGAACAACCTAGAACCTTAAACATCCATTGACCCTCAAGGACAGTACATACCCGAAAAAACCTTTACTAGAAGAAAGACCACCCCCCCCCCCAAGAAATGAAATGAACCAAAAAAAACCTGCCAAGAAAACTCCGAAGCCCT